CTAAACGGTTTAGGGCTGTTGTACATAGGGCCACTATGAGTCGCAGGCAACTCGACAGCACACAACAACAACAATTATCTTTGGAATACTATATCTTAGACAGCAGCTGTTGTTGTTGTTGTTAAGTGCCATCGAGTCATAGCGACCCTATGAACGAAAGTCCTAGACACTTCCTGTATAACTTTGGTCCTTTCTGCAGGTTCATAGGGTTTCCAGGGGCAAGCTATTGTGGAAGTGGATGCCACTCCTGCTTCCAAAGACAGCAGCTAACAGAGACTAAAAGGAGTCCTGATAATCAGTAGGTAAGTGCTGGGCTGCTGCAAAATGAAAGTTTAGCAGTTCAAATCCACCAGTGATTCTGTGAGAGAAAGACTTGGAAATCTGTACCCATAAAAATGATACCTTAGACAATCTCATGGAACAGTTCTATTTTGTCCCATCGGTTTCCTCACTACATGTTGGTATCAACTAAATGGCACACAAAAACTGCAGCACAAGGAAAGAATACATGATTTAATATTTCAAATGAATAAATTCCCAAGCCTTCTGATTATGTTCAGTGAGCGCCCAAACGTTCTGCTCTCTGCATATGTGACATATCCTCCTGTTTTTTCTTCTTTTGCTGTTCTCTACCTCTTCCTTTTGCTTTCTGACAAATGTTATTTTATACACTATTCAAACCAAGATTCTCAACCTTGGTTGTACATTAGACTCACTTGGGGAGTTTTACAAATACAAGCAGCACTGCTGGCCGGCCACATCAGCAGATTTCCATAGGTCTGAAGGAGAGTCTGGTATTGGCATATTGTAAACGCATCTGGCTAAATGGCACTCAATCTAGAAAGCCTAGGTTTAGAGTGTTATTTGATGCTTAAAGTCCCTCCTTTAAAAATGGAATGTGCCTTTGATGATTTTACCTGCCTCTGGATTTAGGGCAGTTACTATTTAAAAATACTTGTTAGATCATCAAAAGCTGTCTTGTGGTAGTATTTCAGCATTAGTTTGCTGAGCATATTTGCATTTTGATTATTTATGAGTATGTCTATATTGTCTTTGTTTTGTGCCATTGAATCACCTATGACTCATAGTGACCCTATCTGCATAGTAGCTCTCAGCACTGTCCTGTATCTACCCATTTATTGGGAACACTGGTGACACAGTCCATAGGGAGCTGTGCTGCCCATCTCTCTGGTGGTACCTCTCTGGTAGTCTGGATGTATTAGCAGCTACTGGGGAGAAAGGTGAGCAATTTCCTCTCATGCAATTTATGCAGTCTCTTGAAAACATGTTGGAGGTCACCTATGAGTCGGTTCCCACTTGATAGTAATGAATTGAGGGGGTTTTTTTTTAGTATCTCTGCCTGCGTATCACGATGGGAAAGTCTGCCGTTAGGGACCTCTCAAAGGTACTCAGGAGCAACAGTGTCTCTCTGGAGACTAAGATGCGCCTGATACAGGTCATGGTATTTGCAATCACTTGTTATGCATCAGAGAGTTGGACAATGACTAGGGAGGACAGAAGGAGAGTGGATGCTTTTGAGCTGTGGTGCTGGAGAAGGGTACTGAATGTACCATGGACTGCCAGGAAAACAAACAGATCCATCTTGGAGAGGATTAAACCAAGCTGCTCCTTGGAGGCAAGGATTCTGGGGCTTCGTCTGACATACTTTGGACATGTTGCCAGGAGGGATGGGTCCTTGGAGAGGGACATCATGCTTGGGAGGGTGGAGGGACAGCGCAGGAGGGGAAGACCCTCTATGAGATGGATTGATTCGGTGACTGGGGTAATCGGGATGGGTGTGTCACAGGCAAGTGCGGTTGGCGCAGGATAGAGCAGGGTTTAGAGCTGTTGTGCATAACAACAACAACAACAACAATCTCTGCATATCATCTATTGTATTGGATCATAAGAAATCTTCAAGAGCAAAAACTTCTCTCTATTTCTGTGCATTGCCAAGCCATGAACATGGACCAAAACAAAGCTTTGATAATTAAAAACCAAAACAAGACAAAAAAAACAAACAAAATACACAACAACCGCCAAAATAAAAAACAACAACAAAACAAATTCCCAAGCAACTAATTGAGACCATCTTAATTCTACTCCAAGGACTTGTCTTCAGTAAGAACAAATTTGTTGCAAAAAGGGGTAGGGCAGGATGGAAGCAGAGTAGGAAAGAGTAAATAAAGGAAAAGTCAAATGGAAAAAAAGCTAAATTAGTCCAAAAGAAAATGTTTCCCAGCCTCTTAAAAGGGGTTTTGCAAACACTGGAGCAGAATAAACAAGAGAATTAACTTGGCTTTTATCCTGATAAGGAGATTTCTTTCTTTGTTATATAATTTTACAAAGTTTCCAGGGTGTAAAGAAAATAACCAGCCAGTGAGGATTCTTTTCCCCATCCTAAGGATACAATTCAGCTCCTGGGTTAATCAGCTCCCAGATCTGCTCAGCTTGACCTGACCCTCTTCCAGTCCTGTGATCTCAGACTAAGCCTCACATTAGAGCCCTGGTGTTGAGTTCAATGTCACAGGAATAGACTAAAACATAATCCTCATTCCATAACCTTGATCCCTTGTTGTAGGGGTCTCTGTTTACATATTAAAAGAAATAAAAGGGCTTTACTTGGTAAAGTGATTGGTGTTCCCAAGATCTACCTACCCTAAAATGACTCAGACATGTTGGCCTACTGATTAGTACTGTATTTTCTGGTGTACTTACCTTTTAGACTAGCTGGATTAACATATCCTAGGACAGGTTTACGGCCTTCTATACCTTTTCTCAAAGTAAGACCATTAAACACACCCTCTGCTAAGGTAAGTTCACCAGATAGAAAACTACTTTCCATTACCAAACTTTATTTATTAAGCGACAAGTTTAACAACTGAACCCAAACACATGAACATTTCTATAAATTAATGCTCATTCTTTCACCTGTGTTGGCCATGGGCCAAATTTTACTTTCATTTTTAAGTATTATTTGAAAACATGTTCCAAGGTATTAAATTCTGCCAGTCACCAAAGACACAAAATGATCGCTTTCGTCCTATCAAAACTTCCTGTTGATAGTGAGAAAATGGAAGTGACTAGTTAATTAACAGAAAATTATGGCTTTAAATTGTTGATTTACCAATAAGTTTTAACTAGAACGAATTAACCTGGGATTATTGAATTAATGATACATGCATAATGGACAGGTTCACAAAATCAGTATGTTAAGATGAGAATGCCATCTACAATTTAAAGCAGAGAATCCATAAAGAAATAAATCAATAAATGATTAACTAAATAAATCAACACTGATTCACCATGAATTTGCTTCCCTCAGATAGTTTAGGTAGCAGTGCTTGACGATCCAGAATGTCCCTGGAAGCTGCAAACAGCATTTCACTACTGTGATGAATTACCCAGGCTACAGACCAAAGGTCATTAGGTTCTCCAGGAACACTTTGGAACAAGATTCACCAAAAGGATGAGTAAAATATTCAGAGCCTAGGACACTTGAATCATCAGGGAGAAGGGATCGTCGAGGTAATGAGCAGGCAAGGGCTTGAGAATTCAAGAATGTTTCTCTACAGGTAAACAAGCAGCCCTGTTGTCTCTAACAAGGCTGGCTCAATCACCAAGCTGGAATGTTATTTAAACTGTCCGAAGCAAACCAAGAAGCATCCTCTGGTCTGTAAGAAAGAGTACTTGGAAAGTCATGTCTGAAATCGGCAAAGGCTCATGCTTGTTTCTGATGAGTCCTGATTTCTTGGAAAAGAGCCAATTTACCTAACACAGGTAGAGGGAAACAACTCCTCCTCACAGCTGCCATCTCCAGCCAGGACCACCAGCACGCTATGTCAGGGTTGTTTGACTAGTAACTTGGATTCATGACATATATAGCAAAATAGATGAATGTTAGTTATGCATTCTACCCTCACCAACAAATCAAAATAATGATCCTGTCTCCTGCTGCTTGTGGGGCAGGGATGGAACCTATTCCATATAGCAGGATAAAACTGAGTTTAGACATTAGAGAAAATAAGTTTACTGATTCTGAACCATTTTATCATAGGAGCAAAAAACTATGGGAAGATGATTAAGGTATAGAAAACAACCTTTCTGGATATTAATTAAAAACAACAGCAACAACGACAACATAGCATTTCATTGCCATTGAGCTGGAACTAACTCACAGCTGACGTTCTAGCTATAATCGCACCGATGGTGATTACCCATCTTTCTCCTTCGGAGCGGCTGGTGGATTTGGACAAGACAGAAAGATGCCACTTTGGGGCTAGCAGTGAAACGCCACAGGGACAATTCTGACTGGAAGGGGAGAATTCTCTCCTGAGGCTAGGACAGAAACCACCGCTAGAGAACTATGAGAAAAATCACCATTCTTTTGGAGGTCTCCCCAGCATCATTTAAGTGACTGGCTTAAGTGTTTACTTCAATATACCCAGTATCTGGGTACAATTTATTCACTCACTTGACATGGTTTGATTGGCCCAAGATTTTCAAAGCATACCAACATCAAGAGAGAGAGCCATCATCATTTCATCCATATACAAATGAGCTCATCTTTCAGAAAGCCAAAATGATCAATTACTTGTTCTTTTCCACGTCGGACAGGTAATGTGCCCATGTCATAACAAGGTTTAAGGGTGGCACCTGTCATACAAAAGCATGAACACCAATCATCATGCTCATGAACCGGAAAGGGATCATTTACTTTTAGAGACTGAGATTCCAGAGATGCAGGCCTTAAGTTATTTACAAGTTGTTGCAATATATCAGAGGGAATTCTCTCTGGGACCTGTTCTTGTATTTTTCTTCTGTGGGTGACTTAGCTTCCTATTTTATTCTAACGGTCTTTAGGGAAGGTCGGAATTTCTTTAGGCAGCCCCACTGCCAGTACTGAGCCAGGAACAGGTAATATGGAGAAGGTCTGACCCTCAGATTGTTAAGTAAATCTTAGTCTCTGACGGTGACACTTTCTAAGTCGAGACACTCACCTGTCTTCTTTGTGAATCAAGGTACTGGAGAATCAGCCTGGTGTTGACACTGTGACTCCACGTGTTTCCTAAAGCAGCTGTCATACAGCTGGATGTAGAAGCGCCTGCAATGAAACCAGACAACACTTCAGTGACACAGGTCTTTTCTTGTGATGCCATAAACATATTGCTCAGAGAGCATTTGGGGGCCCAGTTCATTACCCAAAGGTTGATAAGTTAGAAAAGATTGGGGAGGGAATTTAAGAAGGAGGTAATGAAACATCAGAACCATCTTAGGTTTCCTTCAGTCTCAGTAAAAATTGTGTACCACTGGGCCAAAAGATAATAGAGTTCAATAGCAACAAAATACTGCATTTTAAGGAAATCTGGAATGATCGTTAATAATACATCAGGGTGCTCCATGTCCTTGGTGTGAAAGCATAATGCTGCTTCACAGAATCAAAAACAGTTATGAAACAGTCTTAGTTTAATGGCGTTGTAAGGCTTCTTTAGTTTGATAAGAATCTTAACTCAATTTTTCTTTATCACTAGAGAAAAGATGGCATATGCATATTTAATTCCTTCCCCCTCACCCAGTCCCTCTCCCATAACCAGAAGAGGAATCTGGATAATCTCACCATTTCATATCTAATCTGTTTTAGACATCCCTATTCCAAGAGAAACATTTCTTTACCTTCTGGGACTGTGCTGTAAAGAGGAATCTTTGAAATGAGTTTTATCTGAGATCCTAGATTACTCTAAGCTATATAGTACAACTACTATCTTAAATCTCAAGAGCTTCTTTGATTTCTCTTAATATTGTCAGAAGAAAACAATTCTTGCTGTCTTTCTGTTCTTTCTTAGAAGAACTTAGAGCCAATCCCCACTATCATAAGAGGCACATCCAGAGGTCTCCTCTGAACTTCAAATCATGGGAGTAATTCTAATAAAAATAAAACCTATCAAATGGGGAAATGACAACCTCTTCAACAAATAGTGCTAGTAAGATTGGACCACTACCTGCAGAAAGCTGAAACAGGATCCACATCTCACACCATATACAAAAATAAACTCAAGGTGGATCAGAGATCTAAAAGTAAAGCCCCAAACCTTACAGTTCATCAGAGACAAACTGGGATCAAGCTTATGTGGTCTAGTCTATGGTATAAAGAGACTACTGAATTCAGCCAGAACTGTACAGTCTGGAGAGGATAAAACTGATGAATGGAACCTTCTAAAGATTAAATCCTTGTGCACATTAAAAAAAACAAAAACAAAACAAAACAAAAAAAAACAAAAAAAACCCACAACAACCATTTTCCAACAGAGTGAAAAGAAAACCTACTGACTGGAAAAAGCATTAGGCAATACCATTTCATAAAAAAGGTTTCATATAAAAAATTTACAGAATTCTACAGGGCCTCCACAAGAAAAAGACTGATAACACAATTACAAAATGGGCAAAAGACATGGAAAAATTTCCACAAAAGATATTTGGATGGCCAACAGACACATGAAGAAATCACTGTCAATAAGAGAGATGCAAATCAAAACAACAATGAAATACCATCCCATCCCAGTAGCAGTGGCACAGTTTAACTGGACAGCAAGCAATAAATGTTGGAGAAGAGGTGGAGAGACAGGAATTCTTATATACTGTTGGTGTGATTGTAAAATGGTACAATGACTCTGGAAGGCAGTTTGGCATTTCCCCAGAAAGCTGAACATAGAAATTCCATATGATCCAGATATTCCACTCCTTGGAATATACCCTGAGAAAATGAGACCTGAGATACAAACAGAGACTTGTACATGATTCTTCATAACAACATTATTCACCACTGCAACAACATGGAAACAGCTGTCAAATGTTCAATCACAATTGTATGGACTGAGAAATTATGGTACAGTCACATAATGGAATACTACGCATGCAAGAGCAATGATTTTGTAAAGTACTACCTAACTTGGGAGGAACTAGAGAGCATTATGCTGAACTAATTCAGTCTCATAAGGACAAATATTGTATAAGACCATTATTGTAGAACATGTATGAGGATTCAAGGGTGGGGGAGATGGGTGAGGATGGGCTAGGGGTGGATGGAGATTGATAATCATAGGGTCGCAACATTTGATGGGTGGAGGGAGGGATGGGTAAAGGAAATGGGAAAGATCCAATGTGAAAAACAACATATATAAACTTTGTATAACCCAGTATAAAGTATAAATTTTATTTAGTAAAAAAAACACCACCACCAACAAAAAAAATCCTTGACTCAGTCTACCTTTCTGAGACTGTCTCTATTCTTTTTGATAGAGACACATTTGCAGAGAATATTTTGTTATAATAAAACCAACACTACAAAGAGCCAAAGCACTTCTCCTTCACCCCATTTTATAAACAAGCTTTATTGAGGTAATTCACATACCACATTATTGTTGCTGTTATGTGCCATCGAGCCATTTCAACTCATAGTGACCCTATGCATAATAGCCCTGTCCAGAGCCAATTTCACTGTCTCTGACACACCTGACCCCATTACTCAAGTCTTGATGTCAATCCATCTCATCCAGGGTCTTCCTCTCCTGTGCTGCCCCTCCATCCTTCTAAGCATACTGTCCTCTTCAAAGGACTGTTCCTTCTAGGCAACATGCCCAAAGTATATGAGATGGGGCTTCAAAATCTTTGTCTCCAAGGAGTCCCTTGGTTTTAGCTTCTCCAGGACAGACCTGTTTGTTCTCCTGGCAGTCCATGGTATGCTCAATTTTTCTTCTGTCATCCTTAGTCATTGTCCAGATCTCTGATGCGCAGCAAGTGATTACAAAGATCATGGCCTGGATCAGGCTCACATTCCATACAGTTCACTTATTTAAAGAATACAGTTTAGTGACTTGTAGTATATTCACAGAGTTGTTCAACCATCACCACCATCAATTTCAGAACACTATCATCATCCCAAAAAGATGTCTTGTATTCCTTAGGCTTGAGCGCTCAACTTCTCTTCTTGGCAGATCCCTCCGGCTTGCCATAGTTCCGTATCAGTAATTGACATTCCACATTGATAGATTCCGTAACTGATTTTTAATCTTCTGAGTTAGGATGTGATAGGGAATAGTGGAACTGCGGTGAATCACAGAATTCACTCACAATTTCAAGGGGGCAGCCGTGCTCAGCTCCTGCTGCCGCCGCCATGCGAGACTCTCTGTTTCAGAAAGAGACTTAAGAATTCAGTATATTAAGTACAATCTGATATTAAAATGTCAGTTTAAATTTTTTTGAACATGCTATTGTGGTTTGGATGAAAGCTTACCTAATACCTTTGTTTTCCATTCAACAATTTACACACATTTTCTTTTGTGATATTAGTTGCAACAGCCTCTGTGGGAGCAGCACTCTTCCCGCTTCCTCCCTAGGTTCCCTGTTTCCATTTGTCCATCTTTCTTCCTTCTTCCTGTCTTTTATTTTTTTTACTAGTTTATTTAAAAAATTCTAATACAAATTCAAACAAATTCTTTCCATTTCCCTCACCCCCTCAACCAACAAATTGTACAATCCAATGATTAATCCCCTCTTCCACCTGTACATCCACATCCCTCTGCTTCCAGCCTCTCCCACCCCTCCTGGATCCTTATACTCATTCTACAATAACAGTCTTATACAATATTTATCCTTGTGGGACTGAGTTAGTTTAATGAGGCACCACCTCACTCCAGTAACAGTGGCAAAGTTTAACAGGGCAGCAAGTAGTAGATGTTGGAGAAGATGTGGTGAGAGAGGAACTCATATATTGTTGGTGGAATTGTAAAATGGTGCGACCATTCTGGAAGGCAGTTCGGAGCTTCCTCAAAAACCTGAACGTAGAAATTCCATATGACCCAGCTATTCCACTACTTGAAATATATCCTGAGAATATGAGAATTGAGGCACAAACAGATTTGCACACCAATGTCCATAGCAGCGTTATTCACCATCACAAGAACATGGAAACAGCCCATATGTCCAACTACAAGGTAAGGGATTGAAAAACTACAGTACATTCTTTCTGTCTTTTAATCTTCAATTTGGGGCAAAAATTGTTCACTTTGTCTCAGATGGTTGATTGTTCTTCACCAGTGCAATTGTTCATTTTAAGGAGCTCTGGTGGCTTAGTGGTAAGGAGTTGTACTGCCAATCCAAAAGCATGTGGTTCAAATTCACCAGCTGCTCCACAGGAAAATGATGGGTAATCTCATGCAGTACAATTTGCTGCTTTAGAAAACCCGCCAGAGGGCTCAACCATGAGTCAGTTCCAACTTGAAAGTACACAACAATAACATTGTCCACTTCATTGTATGCAGTTTAGTTATGTACCATTGAGTCAGAACGGACCCTCTAGTGGGTTTTCAGAAGCAGTTAACCACACAGGAAGAGACTGACCATCTTTTCCCTGAAGCAGCTGCTGGCTTCGAGCTGAGTTCCTTTGAGTGGGCAGCATAACTCCTTACCAATAGGATCCAGGGGAGTAGGTTCTGTTCTAGGTTTGAAGGGTATCTAAGGACTATACTATCAGAGTTCCACTGTCTAGTCTTATTTTAATTTTTAAAAAAATAAACACTTAAATGTGCTGTGGGGTAGATATGACTCAATGCCAACCAATCTTGTAGTGTCTGATCCACAAGGTGTGCTGTCACTACTGATGAGGAAGGCACCCTCACTGGGATAATTCTGGCCTGACTCACCAAGTGTAGCCATACAAATTATAAATCTAGTATCAGAAAATTTAGCACTGTAAGTTCAGGATATTCTAACCAAGCTCAGATCTTTTCATATGAGCGTAGTTCTCCTTCCTTGCCCCTCTTTGATCTCATTTCTTTTATTTGTTTTTCCTTCTTGCATGTCCCTTTATGTCTAAGAGATTGTGAAGTCCTATTAACTTAATATTAAAATCTCACCTATATCCATTGCCTCACCTCCATTCCTCCTAACCAGACTTCACCTTAGATCAGACTCAAACTCAATTTCACCCAGCAAGGACAGCTACAGTGGTTTGTTGGTTTCCCCCTCTTTTACTATGGCGTGCTTTACTTATTGGATGCTTTGTAGATGCTACAGTGTTCTAAATTATCTCTATGCTATCAGCTCCTA